TCGCTAGTAGGTTGGAGGCCATCGCTAGTAGGTTGGAGGCCATCGCTTCTAGGTTGGAGGCAGAGGTTTCAATTCACCCGAATGCCTGTCACGACTTATTCACCCAAAGTGCTGGGTCCAGTCATCCCACAGGACACTTTGCGTGTTCACCAGCTGGAGGCGAAGGTAGTCACCGGGATGCTCTTGCATGCACTCAATTTCAGAGGAACGCTTCTCGCAGTCCTTGACAGTAGCATATGTCAGAGTGAGTTGGCTCGGCAGAACCTCCCAGCTGAAAAGCCACCACCACCATTTGATCGTTTTTGAACCAGGAGCCACGTGTACACAAGCCAGAAAACAAAGAAACAGCATGAAACAGCCCTCACCCTGCACCCTGCGTAATGCTGCTCCAGCCTGAGTAATGTCCTTGACATATTGAAACTCCACGATGGTCATTAAGTTGATGGCATACTTCAAAGGGCATAGGTATCTCGCCCACCTCAAGCTCAAGGGAATCTTGGCCACTGGGACCTCAGTGAAGGACAAATCAAGAGCCAAGCTTGGCTGGCCTAAGGGCAATCCTCTGCTAGCAAAGGCCATGTGCTGGTTCGTTCTCCCATTCTTCGAGATGGAATGGACATTTAAGAGTTGACAGGTGACCTGCAGTTCCAAAGGTGTTCACCAACCCCTCAAAATGGAAAGAACTCCGGAACCAAAGATTTGTGCTGGCCATATGTGTGTCCTTGCCAAGAAGTAAATTTGTTCAAGAACCAGGAAATCCCTGGCAAGACTTCTTGAACATGATTGAGGTGTGCAACAAATGGCACTATGTTCCACTTCCATGTTCTAATTCCCCAAACCTTGCATTGACCTGACGGCTTCCATTCCGTGTGCTCCACCGAACAAAATGATCAGCCATCTCCTCCATTTCAGAGCCCATCCATCTCCATCTCTCCCCATCCATCGAGTTCAGGCTCGCCACGAACAGCCCTGAGAAGAGCATCTGAGGGATCAGCGTCAAAGGTGCCAGCTGTATGGCCTTCTGCGCCGATGCCACGCCGCAGCCCACCAACAGGGCCTACCCGATGCTCGAGGCACGGATGGGCACGGTGCTAAGTGGGAGGGCTATAAACGGTTGAACCGGGGTTGGACGGAGGGAGAAAACAAAGCAGCTGGTTCTTCAGTGATTGATTCGTGCTGCTTGGTTGGGTTCCAGATGGTTCCAGCTATGGCTTGCTATTGGTTAGAGGGCCAAAAGGGAATGACTGGTGAGAGGGCCTGATATTGCTCGGAGGTTGGATGCAGGAACATTCCAACAAACGTCTTGTCGATTAGCGACCGAATGAGTGCAGGATAACTGACCAATCGATGCCAGTTGATCCGATTGTGAGTGGCCAGCGTCTCATACCATCTACCGCCCGAACGTGAGTGGCATGTGGCTGCTTAGACATGGAGGATGCACCGGCAAGCACCGGTCGAAGTGAATTCGTTGTGCTTCCACCCCCACACACTCGTTCCAGTGGCTTTGTAATGCTTTGTATACCAAGTAATTCAAGTGGAGATGGGATGTGTTCAGACTCTTTTTCCTGTAGCTGTGAAAATGTGGGGAAGGCCAAAAAAGTGCCAAGCATAGCCAAGTGCACCAAAGAGGAAGAGGCAATGCCCAAAAGCCACGAGACCAACACCAGCAGAACAAATCCACCGTGCAAGCCTGATGCAGCGGTGCACACTTCTGCGCAAGGTGTTTTGAGCAAATGTTAGTCTTTGGAAAGGATAACAAACTAGGCGTGATTAAGCCCAAAACATGAGAGTAGTCATGAGTAGTCCACAGTCCACCAGGAATGCTCAACCGCACAAGTTCCCAGAACAAAGAACACAAGCCAACCTGGAATCCTGTGCAAAGGCCGACTGCCAACCTGGGCCTGTTTCGCGTTCCATCTTGGGTCTGAGGGAACATTCACATGTCAAACCCCTAGTGGCCCTAGTGTGCAAGAAACCTCTTGAAGTGGCTATATAATTACTGAAGAACTCAGACCAAAAGACTCATTCTGGTGGGCTATGGCTTGGGTACTTGATCTCAAGATTGAGGGGGGGAATGAGCATGAGGAAGTACATCCCTAGATTGACCTCCACATCGCAATGCATGTAAGAAGCCCATCCAAAAATAGGTCACCGCAAAAGTCAGGAGCGAGGACATCAGCACCACTGGCATCTCCACCAGGGTCTTGCTGATGAAGTAAGGTACCACTCCATACCTCAAAGAATCAAATCCATCGAATCACATCCAATCACCTTTCCATTTCTCCCACTGTCCTACGGTCATCTGCAGGCCGTTAACCGTGTTAACCAGGCCCAGGCTGCTGATGCGCGGCATATTCGCGCAAGAACACGGGCCGCTCCTGAGGGAATTGGAGGACGACTGGCTGAGCTGCGCTCATCATGGCCATAATACTCAGCGAGACCAGCGTGCCAAAGTGCGCCTGTGGGGGCCATCGAGCTGAGAGCTGAGGGAGGGCAAAGAGTGCTGAGGTTGTGAAGCAGGTTGGAGGAGAATGTCCTGAAGGTTTCCGGGGTTTGAAGGCTGAGCAGGACACAAGGACTCAGACTCAGACCATGACTTTTCCCTTGCATTTGCCAGTTGGGGACCCTGCCCTGCACCACTGCAACTGTGGAGAACGAGGAGCTACATCTCTCTCTCTCTCTCTCTCCATCGCCATACTGCAAAGAATTAGTGGACACTTCTCGTTCTCGTGGCATCCGTCCAGTGGCCTGAAAGTCTCCGGTACATCCGCCGGCACTAAAGTTGTCTGCCAAGCAGTTCTTTTCAGGTGAGTTCACCTTGTCCCCTGACGCAGCACTTCCGGAGAAGAGCCATCCGTAGAGCGCAGCCAAAAACAAAGACATACCTTGGTGAATGATTAAAAAACATCTCTCAGAGGCCTTGAAATATCAAAAATGGAGCTGTGGAAAATTGTGCGTTAAACAATGCCGCAACTTACGAACGCCCCTACCAACCCAAATTGGGATGGAGCCAACCAACAAAATCGTCTGAAGCCAAACGCGCAATGCCAAACCGAGCATATAGAATGCCCTTGTTTCTGAAGGTGCCTGGCAAGCCCATGCAAAAGAAACCAAAGATGGGTTCTTTCCGTATTCATGGGTCAAAATCCAAGCGCTAGCAGTCAACCTTTAACAGGAAGCTTGAACAATTAACATGCACCCAAATCGTGAAAGTCAGTGCAATCTGCTCAACACTGTTAGGAGTGCATGGGGGCGCCTCGCAGTCAGGAAGTCAAATAAAGTCAGTGCAACCAAAACCGCGCATGTTGAATTTCACCCATTAGAGGACGAGCAACGAATCTAAAATATAACATAAATGTATGATTGAAGCATATCAAAGCTATATCACAGTTTCGCAGCAAGGTCCAACAAGCAACAGTGAAACATCAACTGGAGGCAACATTACACAAGCTTCCCAAAACATGTTCCCCAGCCCAAAATCGCCGCGTTTGGTTCCCAAAGACCATAAAGATGCCACAAGAAAAAACATGGAGAATGAATCAAGCCCTCGGGAGTCGACCGACCGCTGACAAACTCTGACAGGCCCAACCTCTGACTTCACGAGCCAGCAGCATCCCCAGTTGCTTGCAAAATCCAGTGTTGCGTCCTGCGCTGCCTTGTCGAGGACCTGCTGCACGCTCGCCTGTGGATTGATTGCGGCCTTGCAAGGCATCGATCTTGGCCTGCATCTTCACGGAGATCTCCTGTGAATAAACCCTTGACATATCTTGACATCTCTCAAGCATGAGCCGTTGGTCAAGAGCTTGCCAAACAGACTCGCATCCTTTGCAACGAACGTCTCCAATGTATATAACTTCCGTAGCCCTGTGTATGTGTGTGTGTGCTCTATATTTGTGGGCATGTTCATAAGCGCAACATCTGAGCATTGAGAGTGCATTTAAACTGGAAAGGAGAACATGTGAGAAACCAACAGCTGCCAAGCTGGCCCATCGGTACAGCATGAAACACACCTGTTCGGACGGCTCGTGAGGCGAGCATGTTCGGATGCCAAGTGTCAGACTGCAGCCAGCTGTCTTTAATCTCCCGGAGCTTTTCGGTCGACTCCTTCTGCATCAGGAACATCCTAGTTGGAACATCCAAACACATTGAGCTTTGCCCAACTACAAGAAAAAGCAAAGAAAACGCTTCGAGTCTCCATCCCATCCCCAGGCTTCACGGCAAGCAAAGGTTTCCCGGAAAAGCCTGAGGTACAATCTATTGCCTCACGAATCCCTATGCCTCGCTAACCAAGCAGTCATTCACGAGTAGTAGTGAGAAGAAGTGTGGGGAGGCTACTGGTTGTAGTTCTTCAACTTTACAGCCCTCAACCAAGAAATTAACATCGCTCGAAGCAGCTGGATCAAGCAGTTGATACTTGTCTGTGGCGCGCATTCCGCATCATTCCGCCCCAAGTCCAACGTCCAAAATCAGCAGTTTCTGCCCCTTGGCAACTAGCTGACTATAGCATGTGCGATCCAGCTATTTGGTGACCTGAACCCAAAAAGAAGGACTAGACATGTGGAACCCTTGGGATCGTTTTGGTTGACCAACTCCACCCAGAACCCACCGGACCGGTGACCCAGCACACTGCCGCTTCGCGACACATGGTCCGCTGGGTTGAAGTTCCCGGGACAAGGGAAGCCCATGTCATCGAAGAAGGCGGAAATCTGATTGGCAGGGCCATGAAAGGTGATCTCTCCAGCATGTAGCATGATCACATCATCAAACCTGGATCCGAACGCCGTTTTCGTTCTCGCCATCGTCCGATCCTCCTAGGGCCTCCAGGCGAGGGAGATGCACGGACTGAACATCGTACTCATCCCTTGCTGAGGGACTCGTTCAATCATGGTATGGTTGGCCACTCTGATAGCAAGGGAGTTGACACTTCTTGTTATTTGGAAAACTGGTCGAGAAAAATATCGATAATTTCTACAGCGATCTGATCTGGAGGCTTTTCCCGCATGTAGCTTGCATAAATTCCACCCTTCAATGTAAGCCGATGTGAGTTGTGATGCTTCGAAGCATCGAAAATGGAGCCAGAAAGGACCACATGGTTTCAACATGTTTCAAAGCTTGACTCATTAAGCATTAACTAAGCCAAACCGTGTCACCCGCCACCTCCTCAAGTAATACTCACCCAGTGCGAGCTTGTCCTGGGGCTATATATTTGGAACAATATTCTGAGCATTTCCCCAAATCAACCTGGGCATCGTTCAGAATCCTCCTTCAACAGATGCCCAGGAAAGCAATGGGTCAAGAAAGCGTAGCCACCGTCGGCCAAAAGGGATGTAAAGTGGTAACAAAGACCAACACTGATTTGTGTGCTAAACCCACCTGAAGCTGCCAAGATGCATTGCAAAAATCTCACTGCTAGGCTGATGCACAGTGCAAAGCACTGGGACATTGGCCTTGGCCAAATCCTTCAGCGCCACCACCAGTGTGTAGGCCGCATAGGAGTCCAAGCCACTGAGGGGCTCATCCAAGAACAACATCCTCAGCGTCGAGCTCCAAGAGTCGCATCGTGCGGAGGGTGGTGTAGCTCGTCCCCTTACGTGAGTGGATGTGACGTGACCGGGCACCCCGACGGCACCCGCCCTAACCTCCATGGATCTTCGCACCCCGAGCTCTGTGACTGGCTGGCTGGGTGTTTCATCGCTTGTAGCATGTGCGAGCTGGAAGCGTGGAACTATGGTGGCATTTGTAGCGCATTCTTCGGACGTGCGGGCTTTGTGGATCCATCGAAAACATGTCTCACAATCTAAAGCATGCTTTGGACACATAGGCAACCATGAATGTATCTTCACAAAATGTGTCCGATTGAGGTCACTTCTGGAATCAACTTGTTGTTGCTGTTCAACCTGCTGCAAAAGCAGCGCCTTTGAACATCAATGAAGTATAGGTCATGGGCGCTGGAGAATGGTCAGTAGATCTGCCGAAGGCCCACTTGAGTTTGAATACTGTAGTCCATACTTCCAGTCCCTCTCTCTATATGCATTATAAAATCTTATCCCCATGTCCAAGAGCTAAGAACAGCGACATGCACAGCCTCCCCATCGGTTGATGCGTGTAACCAGGCCAAATCAGTTCCCTGTCTTTCAGACTGAAGCTGCTCTTTATCAGGAAATCCTCCGCAGCCAGTCTAGGGAGATGTGACCGATACAAACACTCGGGCCTCAACCCAACTTAGTCTAACGATTGGTGGCATCTACTGAATCTAATTGCTGTGCTAATTTCAAGCGGTGCGCTGCACCCTTAGAGATTCCTGGTGACCTTCATGCCAAACAGAAAGTTGGATCCAAGGCATTGGCCTCCCAAAGCTTTGATGATTTCCGGATCGTGGGCCGCCTTTCGGCATAAATTAAATCAGGGCCCTTCAATTTTCATCGCAGTGCTTCCAAGCAGCTTGGGGTTGGTGATCAACCTCAGTTACAGTCAATGAAGAAAACAGCTCGGCACAAAATTAAGCAACCCCAATTTGAGCTCACAAAAGCATTGCACTCAGCCTGCCACCCTGCGATGGAGCATTTGCGCGTTGATGGGGAAATGGGCCGGCCAGAAACCCATGTTGAATGGGAGCTAGGCTGACCAACGCAGTTGACCAGCCACAGCTGAAGAAACATCTTTGATTCATGGTGATTCTACACCGAGAACTCTTGAAGCACCCCCTTTCCAATGCCCATGGTATCCCATGGTTTCATGGACCATCATGGGCCCAATCCCCGCTCGGTCGGTCCGGAGCCGAACACGGCTCCGACCGGCGCCCAGGCACTCGATGCCGACGGAGGTTCGCTTCCGTTCGCCGCCACTGAGGCCCTTCACCAGCTCGGAGCCCACGATGGTGTTGGCACAACGCTGCAGGGACAAACTCGGATGTGCAGTTGATGGTGCTTTCTGGCCGAAAAATCCGAAGACCGGGCATCCAGTTCCAAGAAGAGGTGTTCTTTTTGGGAGCAGGTCTACACTCTATACATTTGCTGAAATCATCATGGAAGTGGAGTTCACCACCTGTTTGGTCCTCGGATTAAACATAATTGAACATCATCATCCAAAGAAAAGGGACCGTTTGCCATCCACGTAACATCATGTAACCAGGACTTTGGGGAGTGATTAACAACCGTCGAAACGCCGTTTTTTGCATGGCAGGTTTTGGAGGCCTTTGCTTGGAGCATCCATTGGTGGCTTGATTCCAGAACACAAATCCCGTGAATAGCAGGTCGGATCTGGATCCATCATGATCCATACTATACCCTAGCAGCTTAGCATGAACTGAGCAATGGAAGGAAGTGAGGGGCATTTCGCCTTGACAATAATCTCAAGAGCTGATGAACTGATAGCATCAACGAGCATAAATCACCCGAAATCCACCTGCGCCTGCGCCCTTTCAAAAACTCTTGGAAAACATGAGGCGCATCCTGCAACCCCCAGGCCCGCCAGGCCGGCATCCAGGTATGTCCAGGGGGCGTGGAGAGGAGGTTGTTCACGAATTCCTCCCGCTGTGTCCTGCTGATGCCCTGTGAGAGCCGCATAGATGCACTGAAGTGGAAGTACTCCCTCGGGGTCTCATAGGGCAACCTGGGCTCGGAGATCTGGGAAAAGCATAGGGATTGCATAATCTTAAGATCCAACTGGTACTGATAGGATACTGAAGAGGCGGGTTTGACCCCTCCCTCCCTTCTTGGGGCTTTGGTTTGCCGAGAGCCCTGACATGCAAGCCAATGTGACAACCATGCATCCTACATGATTGCAGGCCAGCTTTCTCGATCTCATTTGTTGGCACTGCCACCTATCAATACCTATGATTCCATGACAAAACCATGCGCCAACCAACACGTTCCGAACATGGCCCATGGCGGCACCACCTTGACATCCGCTCTCACCGGCCCTGACTCTTCACGTCGGACCATCCTCTCGACGACATCCGTCGACTCTTGACATCCCCTGGTGCCATCCCAACCATCCCAACCTTCCCTGGACGTTTTCCGAAGGGCAAGGCATCGTCCTGCATGACATAGGCGATGTTTCCGCGGAAGCTGACAGGATCTACCACCACTCCGTTCGTGGTGATCTGCCCCGTCAAAGACATGTTCGACGCCTTGGTGTTTTGTCCTTAGCACCAAAACAGCGGAAAACAACAGCGGCCTTTTGTCCATCTGAGGGCCTTCAAGTTGGTAGCGTATTCAACTTGGTTTGAACATGATCTGGGGTATATCTGGGTCATCTGGGTGTGCTGGGCTCCTGCTTTGGAAGGATCTCCCAATCAGGAGAGAGATTCTGTTTGTTTTGGGCCTCAGCCTCAGCACCGAGTAAGGTCATCACCCAAGAATGGTGTCGGCATGTCTGGTGTAGCCCAGTTCTCAAGAACACTCCAGTTTTGAAAGGAATCCACGTAGATCGCGTGGCAAGATGTTGCAAAGTCAAAGTCAACGAATTACTTAGGTTGGTGGGCAAATCTCGCAGCAGATTTCGGGGCTGGGCATCTGACGAGTCTCTTCCGGCCAAGATGTTCAGCAACGTGGTCTTTCCACTTCCTGAGGGACCAAAGACCCCGGTCAATCGACCTGGCTCAATCATGCCGGAGATATTCGACAAGATCTTATGCTGGCCGATGGTGAACGAAAGGCCACTCCATTCCTTAGCTTTTCGAATAGACCAAAACGGTGAATCCCCAGGAGCCCACCCAAGCAGCAAAGGCCAAACACGCAGTGCGAAGTGAGCTAGCATTTAAACCTGTTTAAGTTGCGTGCGATGCACCTACCTCACCATGTCTCCTGGATGTTCCGGTGATCCTTCAACAGCAACACCACTTTCCAGCCAGAAAACCGGTTCGGGGTCACGTGTGGACAGCAACCTGCTTCTACCTTCACTTCTGGCTTGATGATCGTGATGGATTTCCACCGTCACCTCAGGAATCCTTGGAAAAGAACAGGGACTTTCCGGCCCATCACCTCGGCGCTCCAAGAATCCATAGACCGCTCCTCATGGGCTTCGTCTGACAGCTGCCTGGTATGATCTCGAAGCTGATGCATTGAGGGCTCATTCCGCTCCAAATCCTGGCAGATCCGCAGGCATCCGCACAGCATGAGCATAGAAGAAGAATTCAGCTGGTGTTCGGGACCAGTTTCAGGATCTTGCTGGGAAGGAAGGGAGTGCCCCCAGAACTGCAGAAGCCTGAGAATACACATCATAAAATAGCTGCTAAGCAAGTCTGGGAAGTCATGTTCTGGCTCATGGTCCGGTTCCACATCCTCCCTGAGACTCCGCGATAAATCTTCTGTCATCGCGTGTGGAGTGCGCGGAGGGCGTGCTGGGTCCCACTCACACCCCTTCGGTCCGTGTGTCAAGGACTAAGGAGCCCTCTAGAGTCCTGATGAGCCTACAGAGGCTGCGAAGCATCACAGAGTGAAGAACAGAAACCTGAAGGCCCAAAAGACTCTGAAAACATCTACTAGTATATGTTGACTTGCAAGTGATTTTGCAACCGCCAGTTGGTGCAATTCTTTCAAGCAGTCATGTGAGTCACGTGTTTTAACCTCGACACCGTTAGCACTGATCACATGATGCAATTCTCATTCGGCCGGTCTCAAGGTTTGAAGGCTAGCATCTAAGCACCCATAAGCACCCTAAAGCTGCGATGCCAGGTCCGTTAGGTCTTCGCTGTGATGCGAACGGACCTGCTATATATATATATATACAGTATACGGACACAGTCTTCGCTTCTCTCCCCGCTTCGTTCAGCTTTTCGCCCAGTGATGGCCCATTCGAAGACTTGACCACTGACAACTTGCACCGCGCGCGTGGAATCCGGTTCCCCCACTGGAGCTGGGCCAAGCGCGACGACTTGGGACCCTTCAGCGCCTGGCTTGACACACAAGACAGGACGACTGAAAAGTCACCCCCAAGGAGAAGGAGCCAAGACACTGGGGTGCGATGGAAAAGTCACCCCTATAAAGGAACAAACCTACAGAATGCCGTGACACTATAGAATTTTCATAGATTATACTAAGTATCTGATTAGTAATAATATATATATACAGTTACAGTAAGATGACAGTAAGATGTATACAATATATGTATGTAACAGCTGTATTTTTGCATATGCCTGAACCGATTTGCCCCTCTGACTCTACATCCTCCCTCTCTCGGGCACCTTCCAATCATGACACACGGCAGAGGCCTTGGGCGGGAAACTTGGGTCCTGGAGGCCAAGTAGGGATCAAAGCGACGTCATCCATTTTATTGCGTGCGCCTTCTCAGAAGGTTTTTGTTGGAACGTTCAAAGCGTTCAAAGGAAAGAATGTGTCAAAAACGCGAAAAATCACAATGCGAAGCTTCGAAAGCTTACGCCGCATGTCTACCTCGAAGTCTCGCATGACTTAGAGAAGGTTACCAAACATCGCAACTATAACTCCATGGAGGCACAAAGGGTTGGCATCTCAACTCTCATGCAACTGATGTAAAAAAAATCCTAGTTGGCTATAGGACATCAGTGCCCAACACCAGCAAGCAGTGAACGTCCGCCATCAAAATCCCGGCTGGCGAAATTGGGTAGCTCACTCTCCTCCCAGCCAGGCTTCAAGCACTTTGCCTCAAGACAATAGGCCAATGCACAAAGTTCAATTGTCAGCTTGAGCATCTGACATCTACACAAATCTACGCCCAAGTGCACTGATCTAGAATCAGCCTCTACCGAAAGACGTGTCTATAAAGCAAAAGCACTAAAAGGCGATCTGCGTCTGCAAGAGCTCGCTTGACCTGGTACGCACCAGGTCTCGCATGACGCACATTGACATGTTTCAGTGGCTAATCATGGGCGATCATGCACATTATGCTCCCCAAATCCCCAGCACTAACTCATCGGTGAGATCCGGAAAATGGTTAGTTCTGCATAACGTTCTGCTGTCGCTAATCGCTGAGTTGCTCACATACATCTCCAAAGGAGTCGCTGTCGGCGAAAAGAAAGCCGTAAAGGATGCGTCATATAATTCACAGTGGCTGGGTTATTCATCTTCCAAACTCGTGGGTGCCGCAAGAATCCAAACATATCCAAACACGAGAAACATGCAGAAAGCAAATCTACCTACCCTTTGGATTTTCCCAAAGCACTCTTCTTTTTGGGGTTGGGGGGGTGTTGTGGGCAATCCCTTCTGCCCCCTCGGTTTCCTCGCAGCCAGCCAGCCAGCCCACACGTCCGACCTCCTCAGCCTCTGCGACGCTCACCGGTTGCACATCACTCTGGGATGCGCCCATGAGGGCATCATGAAGGCACCAGGCTGGCTGCAGAAAAAAGCGCCCAGTGCAGGCGAAAGAACGTGACTAGTGATGGCTCTGGTTGCCAAAAAACATGGCGCCCCACCTGCTCAAACATGATGTTCCTCATCTTCTTCATTGGTCTGTCTGCTGTTACTTTTTGCGGCTCTCAGTTGCAAAGCTTGTCGGTCCTGGTTGATCACTATGATATTGGAAAGGAACCGTTGGAAATCTTGAGCACAAATGTGAGTGGACCAAATGTGAAAGCATGACTCTGGTTGCCAATTGCGAAGTGCTGGCGCCAATTCTGCATTGTCAACTGTGGTTGCTAGCCAAAGACATTGAGGTTACATGAGATCTATACGAAGGTGCTCTGAGCGGTTGCCTTGGCTTGTGGATGGCTGATATGGTGACCGGATCGCTGGAGAAAGCAGGGGCTTCTCACCTCCCCAATGAACGCACCCAACGCACCTACTTCATGGTGCATGGTGGTCATCTCATTCATTGGGAGGGTTAGGTGGGTTAGGTTGACTGCTTTCAGAAGTTACTCTCCTTGATGATGTCTTACCCTAGTGACCCTGGGTAACTTGCTTTAAGGACCTCATCGCCCCCCAAAAGCCCCGCTGTTGTGTCTACAATTCATCTTGTCTCCCTGCCAAGCATGGCCAAGCCACAATCGATTCCCTGAAAACCAAAAAGAAAGGGAATCACTATGTCTTGGTTTTCACTATGTCTTGGATGAGTTGAATCACTATGTCTTGGATATTCTTGGATGTTCGTCTTCCGGTGTTGTTGATGAGATGACCCATCTGGCAAACAGCCATCCTTTAACACTTTAAACTTATAAGAGACAATCCAAAGACCTTTATCACCTGGTCATCTTCAAACATCTTTATCATCAAAACCCAAGGATCAGATGCAAACGACCTCCGATCACCCTGGGACGTCTAGGACTCCTAAAGTCGGAGCCATTCAGCCTGGCAATCCAGTGGGAGAGAGAGAGCTCAAGGCCGCAAGGTTGTGGAAAGGCTGTGTGCAGTGCACAAGTCCCAACAAGTCCCAAAGGCAACTTGCACACCATTACAAGGCAATAACTCAAGCTTTGCCATGGATTGAAGCCATCCGCATGCATGGTAGGAATGGCAGGAGGCAAACACGGTCTTTTCTGCTCTGGTTTTACGATGTTTGAACACTGTTGCAGCACCTCAATGCCAAACGATGGCCATCTGCATCCCGTGGCATCCCGTTGGCCTTGCTGAGTGTGGGGATAAGAAATTCTCAGATGTCACCTGGCACGGCCACCGCAGAAGGGCGAAGCCGCCGGGTGCTCAACAGAACACGATCATGGCCGACCAACCCCCCAAGCGGCACGAGGGTGATTCCTTGCCCAGTCATGTTAGCATATGTTAGCGGTTAGTGCCTCAATCGGACTCAATCTGCATGGTCCATTATGCAAAAACCTGGGAGAGTGTTATCAATTCCCCGACTTCAGCTCTGTGATTTCAGCTTCTGTACATGCACCCTTCCACCTTAGCACACCTTTATAATCCTGAAACCACTTTGCCTCTCAATAACGAGCTATTCTACTCGTTCTCTGGCCCGCCTGCCTCGACTCGGGCACATCTGTGGCAGCTGTGAGAGGCTTTGCAGCCACCTCGAGCTGCAAAACCAAACCCGCGTCTGCGGCACGGCACCAAAAGGGTGCTAACTCACGCGATGGAATGTGGGAGGAAGAAAACGAGAAATGGCTTCAGTAAATGTCCAACAGAAAATAAACAAAGGAGAATACGTCTGGAGTTTTTCTTGGTGTCTCGCATAGTGTGCGAGAAAAGATTGGAACGGTTTTTGTCTGGTCCTGCTTGAGTGGGCACAGGAAGTTCGGGCACAGAGTGCAAGGCTACGTCCAGTTTTATATAGCCATGTCTACAACTGTTGACCCTCAAGAATTCCCATAGTCAGTGTAATCCTTCGAGAATTCCCACAGGCGAGCGAATGCAAGGCTGGCGAGCGCGTTTGCCAGCCATCAGTGACAGCAGCCGGCCATTTTAGCAAAAATATGCATCAAGTGCTTGGTTGCAAGGCGTCATCTGCTTCAATCGTCGGCCGGCATGCCATATGCTCTGCCATAGGCTATGCCATATGCCACTCACATCCATGTTCGGCTCATTTGCAAGTTTACTCTCATATCTCTCATCTTAGAGGCCAAAAGCTGCGCTCAAAACCCTGGACATCCTCCGGTTTCACCCGACAGTTGAAACGTCTTCTTTGGCTTCTTGCTCCGCAGTGAAGCGGCACAACAAGCAGCCTGGATTCTCACAGGGAAAGCGCAAGGCTTCGAGCCCCAAGGGCGGCAGCCGCCATCGGAGGTTTGCAGACGCATGGCGTAGCCAAAAGGCGCCGTTGTTGTTCAAGGCACCACCTCCAGCGACAAGGGCTCAGGGTAGGTATGGCAAGAATGGTGGCAACAAAAGGAACTTGACTAGGAAAAGCACCACAAAAGAGTGTTGGAATCTGATTGACATGCAGACTCTTGCCGGAAGAAACATGCAATTATCAAGCGGGTTAGCTAATTATTGCTTTCACCATGAACCCTTCCAGGTCGTTCGGTGTCAGGACAAAGCCCTTGTGCCGGACGGCCAGCGGCAAAGGCACGGCGGCCACAGGGATGGGAAAGACATGTGTTTCATCGAGAGAGTGGGGCCCCTAAATGCCAACGCCCCACAATCACTGATCAACCAGCCTGGGAAGAAGGGCGACATGCCATCAGGCCCATCAACCTGTGACGCAAAGTCCAACAACACCAAACTTGATCAATCTCCCAATCCCCAACACCAAGCTTGATTGGATCATCAGAGATATGCTGGCCTGTCCGACAAAAAGCATCTCAATTCCCTACCACTTACCACTTCCTCTCTCTCCCAATCCCCTACTGAACATGTCACGGCCACTTCCATCGACTGCACACCTTGGCCGAGAGGAGGTTTCGCTGCTTCAGAGCTTCCTTCATCTCCGGGTACATCGAGGCATAGCCGAAGCCTCGGCACGGCACCGGGACATGGAAAAACCCGCGGCCTCTCGAAAGGGGTGGGACAGTCGCGGCCACTCATCGCGGAGTTTCACGGTGAAGGGGAGAGGAACCTGTGATAACCTGTGGCCTCTCAAGAGGTGATGACAAGAGAAAAAGGGTCAGAAGTCGAACTTTTTTGGTAAAATCCTCAAGGCGGTGTTCAAGGTTGAGCCTCTCACAAACCAAGGACCAAGGAGATTTAGGTGTCCTGGGTTTTCTTAACTGAATTGGATTGAAGCATCTTGAAACACTTGCGGTGTGCCTTGTGCCTTGTGTTGCCTTAAGCCTTGTCTTATGCACCTACAATCTTGCACGGTCTCTCTCTGTCCTCCACCGCTCCCTATTCTGCCCTCCAGTCCTTCCAGCCCTCCTCTCCAAGCAGCTCACCCATGGCGCTAGCTTGGAGGAGCCCTTGGCAGATCCACCCGCTGGAGGAGACGCGAGTATCGACCCGCTTGGACGAGCCGTAGCCGCGTGATGTTACTTACTTTAGAGGATGTTCGAGGCACACCTGTTCAGTGGTTGGCTTGAGTTCTTCTGGTCTGAACGATGACACCGGCTCCATAGTTCTGAGTCAAGCAAGAGTCTTGTCCCCTTGGTTCCAACAGGTAACATGAGACTCATGACACTTGGTTGGCTTCTACCTTCCTGCTGCTGCTGCTACTCAAGGTACGACGGCGCCTCACTTGCGCACGCAAGATTCGCTCAGTTGCACGCATTTCTTAATTATAATACAAGTAATTCACCTGCGCACACAGATCTCGCTCACCTGCGGGCACACAAATTGATTTGATGTGATGTGCACACGATATGTCATTCTTTCATGATGTGTCGTTGGGTCAGGTCTCCACACACATGCTCGTGTAACGTCCCTCTGGACATTCATCTACATGATGATCTCTTTTTGCTAATTGCTTCCTTCCTTCCTTCCTTCCTTCCTTCATTCATTCATTCATACAGCAGAGCAAAGCGGCGTGCACAACCGAGAAAGCGCGTGCACAACCGAGCAAATCCAAGTGTGTGTACAGGCAAGCAAATTCCGCGTGTACAGCCGAGGCTCCGCCCCTCTCAGCCTCCTGTTGATCATGCATGGCTCCCACCAAAAACCAGAACTCCTGCCCTATCTGGGCTACCACTCTCTAGCCCCATTTAAGATCTTGGCATCCAAACCATCAAGGCTCCAAAGGTTCCACTGCTTTTTCAAGGTGTCGACACCATTCGCCCCTCCAGGCCCGAGTCGGCCACCCCCACCGGCCCAGCACCCGCCTCGGCTCGCGGGTCCGGCGGGTCCCGCCTGGCGCTTCTCCATGAAATCATAGAAGTATCCCCAGTGGGTGAATTGAATCGGTGACCAGCGGGGCGCATCATACAACAGCAGGAAGCCGCTGTAGTGCTGCATTCTGGGCTTCGAACCGAGGGAAACCGAAGGACTCAACAAAGAACCAGGACTGTGAACAAACTCTGATGCAATTGTCATTATGGATGTCATGTGTGGGGATGATACATTGCTCTTAAGATCCGTCTCTCCCTCTCTCTGCCATTTGGAAGTGGGAAGTGGCATGTCCAAAGGCTGGATGACTTTGTGTTGACTTCCAGCTGTGTTTGCAGACAGCATCGTCTTGACTACCATCAAGTAAAGTGCAACAAAGACTCTTGGTTTGACCGTTCTGCTCCTTGATGTTTCCCAGCGGCCAATGCACATAGCGTATGCCATCCAGGCAGGTGTCCCATGCAACATGAGTGTGCCCAAAAACATGGCATTTCGGATTTACCTAGCACAGGGAATGCTGGCTGGTCCAGGCCATGGAAGAGGTACGTACTGTCTAGGAGTCCTATGCTTCATATAGCGAAATGCTATGAACTCACTTTCGACCTCCAGCATTTCTGAATTTCAGAAGCCGCGAAGTTTCAAATGAGGCCAAGGAGAAAACATTGTGCCACTTGTTTTTGACTTGGCATGCAAATGTCTTGGGTCACTTATGATTCCTGGCAGTTCTGGATAGCAGCCCCGAACGGGCCCTAGCAGTCCCATAAACTTCTTAAGATCGTCTCCAAGATGCTCTCCGGATCTGTTGCTCGAGAAAGCTGGAGCCGCTAATCTTGGGCACGTGTTGGTCGTAGCTGAAGCGTTTCTCAAGGATCAGCTCCTGAGAAAACGTGGAGTTTGTGCAAACACGTGGCAAGTCTAAACATTTAGTCACCAAGACGGCACTCCATGCATGGCGCGAACACGCGCACAGTATATATATATATATACAAACACATCTGGGTGGTTTCAGTGGTCAATGTCGTCATATATTCCATACATGGAGTGTCTCGGGTCTGTTTAGTTACATTCACAAACCAACTAATGTACAGAATATATATATATATTCTTGGTGGCCTTCTATATAGGATGTTCACCTACAAACCACAGCCAAGTAAACGGAACGTAATTTTCTCATCTTTGCCACCCTGTCATACCCTGCTCGCCCTATTACATGATGCAATGCCTTCACATTCCATGTTCTTTTTCAAGACATTTGCATCAATTGACCTTGTTGGCGGCCTGCCACCCTGTCCTGTCTCGGGCAAAAGTGCGAATAACCTCGGTGGGTGCGTTCTGCTGCGGAACGCCCTTTGAGACTCACTCACCGGTGGAAAAAAAGGTTTGTTGAAGACAAATACCAGGTTGGATTCACTCAACCGCCAGGATGCATGGCGCACTTGATTTTAAGGCGCATGGCTTGCATGGCTTGCATGTTTCACATTGTTTCACATGCTCCATGGAAGCTTTGGACACTTGGACACCCATTTCAGCATTCCCTGGCCACTTGACACCTGACACGGCCGGTGGAGGAACTCAAGATCTCACCGCCCTCGCGGGATTGAAGCTCCAGGACCTCTTTGATCCAGACTTCATTGCCTCAGGTGTCAACATGGGTTAGAGAAAGTCATTGCTTCAGGTGGTCAACCAGGTCCTGGTGGGAGATGAAACAAGTCCTATAGGCCCCAAGCACCTTCCTCGATTTCTATTCTCCCGTGTGTTTGAGAGTCTGCTTTTCTGAACAAATCAAAGGATTGCATGAACGAGGTGGCTGCCTGTGGCCGCTACCAAGGGCGGCTTGCCACTTGTCATGCACGCTAATCAAGCCAACTTGCGCTGTGCAAAGTATTCAGCAATGTGAGTTGATGTCACACCACCTGGGGTAGAGATTCCAAACTTGCATAGTCTGACAAACCCCAAGAAACAAAACATGTGGCCACCAAATATTAGGCAAATCGCTTCATCTCTTCCCCCAAAAAAAGCAAAAGCACAACATGAGTCAACACAAAACATTTGAACTTGAAATAACTTGAACAACATATAGTGTAAGCGATCTCACTTATTATGCATCTGAACTCTTGCCCTCTATAACAGGTTCGTTCCTAATGCTTCACGAAGGATCCAATGTTCTCCCCCTTCACCTCCCAAAAAGAAACTTTGGTCTGCAAAACTACCCCACTGGTGCTGCTCAACGGCCTTGGCCAAAAGCGAAGCCCTTCTCTCCTTCTAAGGAGCTCCAACGACACTGGCGGAAGTCGCTGATGCGCTGCCCGGGGTCCATCGGCGGTTGGAGGTCCGTAGGCAGATCACGTTCGGTGTCCCAGCTGGAATGGTACCAAGACAAGAGAGGCAACAAGATGATGGACGACACACCGTTTGAAGAGGGACGCGATCCCGGGTTCGAAGATCCGTGAAGGAGCCTCACCGGAGAAGTGTAGACACCCAAGTCCTGCGTGGAAAGACGACATCTCGAACCAAGAAACTGTGGCACAACATGTTCTTTTCCAGCGATGATTTGTGACCTCTCGGGTTGAAGGTCTGTCTTCCGGCTAGCGTATGCTAGCGTTTCAAGGCCGAAACGACCGTTGTGGTCATGTTTTTGGTCGGATCTCTTTCAAGTACATTTGTGAGGCCTGATGTTCAAAAAGGAGATGCCCGTGGCCCGCAGCTCCGGACCAAAGCCAGGAGGCGTAGAGGCGTGTCGTTTTCTGCGTCGCGGTTCTGTTATCATTATGCTGAATGCCCCTAGAAACACGAGTCGACGTGAGCTCAGATCGACGTCTACTTGGTAGGAAGACGAGCGATGCTCGCGTCCTTTCCTGTCGCCTTATGTCGCCTCATATCCTGTCGCCTTATGTCGCCTCACTCTTTGCAATCGGAATGTCAACAAATTTTGCCTGGCATGAGACTGGGTACGTCCGGCTGGCAGAAAGGCGGCGAGCTTGAGCTTGCGAACTCACTTGTTGCCTGGCAAACCCATGGACTGAAATTCGACCATCACAGAGCAGGCCGAGATCGAAGCCAGTGATCTTCGTCCAGTCGCGGCTTTTGCTGAGGTTAATTATGCATTTTTTGACCACAGGCGCCAAGCCGCATGCGGATTTGGTGAGAAGGAGGTATCAACTGTCACTGCGCACCAACACAATCATGTCTGAATGGTTGGTTTCTCCGGCTTTGGCTTCAACAGGTTCACTGGTGAATTTTGCAAAGCAAGAAACTTCGTGGTCACTGACACGGCGTGGCCAAGAGTTGCTTGGCCAAGAGTTGCTTTGTCTCACCGAACCGCGGTTTGAATTTTGATTGCTCATCTTTCAGGGGGGTGATGTCGTGAGTGTAAATGTGTTGATTGGTCATCTCCCTCATATGCCATTCATTGTGCTGTGTCTGGGTTCAAGTCACACGGCCCATGTTGTTTCACTGGTGTAGCGGAAGTCGACTTGGCATTTCTCAAGGTGCCATTGTTGTTTGAGAGCCCTTGGTCTGCTAGGCCGCTGCTAGCAGGGTAACAACCAACAGATTGACCTGCAGGGCCTCTGCAGCAAACAACGCTAACAGCTCTGGTACCGTGGCCACCATTTCCGCTGCCTTCGCATGGCTTCAAGTGCCTGTCCCCTACTTACTTACACCATATGTTCGTCACTGTGGTTGATTAAACTTTGGGCGACGGATCTTTTGTCATCACCTTCATAGGTGTTGCCATTGTGGATCACATTTCCCTTGACATTGAATGTCAATTCCTGGACATTACCCTTCACATCAGACCCAAAGACGACCAGGTTGGCTCACGCTCAAAGAGCAATCACAAGAGGAGCACGGCTCAAAGGCGACCAGCAAGCTGGGCATCAAGCATCAGGCAGCCCTTTCATCAGCTCATTAGACCGGGGTGCTGCTTGTTCAAGCCGGTGAGCAGCTGCTTTGAGCAGCTGCTAATGCCACACGTGCAGGACGCCTTTTGACAACACAACTCAATATACATAGGATTCATTGCTGCACACCTCCCTCCTCTCTCTCTCTCTCTCTCCCTCTCTCTCTCTCTCTTTTTTCTCATAAGAACCTATAGGATCTATAGCCCATATATATATAATATATATAAATATATATATATATAACTTCATATTACATATCTCTAACCCCTACAAAAGCTGCCCTAACCCATGCTCCCCAGAAATCCCATTGTTGTCTCACCCTGTCAAATTGGGGGATTCCTCTAACCGTCCTTGCAAATCTCATGGATCCGCTCCAATTTCTCAAAGGAATCCTTCGCCGGAGTGTTCCCTTTCTTCTCTCCTCGAATCCAAGCTTCATGGTTTCCTGGGTCAAACAGGCCAGGGTCAGACAGGCTGCGATTTCTGTCATACAGTATGGCTTCCCAACATGGAGGGTGCTTGTTAGTCACAACTAGTGCCTCAAAATACGCAAGAGGACCCGAACAATGACTCTGCAAAGCGTAGTCTCCAAAGCAGAAGAAAACCTTGTGGAACCTGGCTTTCAAGGTCTTCATGACTTCTTCGAAGAGATCTTCTGAGGTGCAAAGGTCTCCGGGGAGGAGGAGGCAGTCGAAGAAGCGGCGCCCATCAGAACTTTCGTGGGAGAGGCTCTGTAGACCTGAGAATGACTTCAGACCTGACTTAGGTAGCCTTCCAATTATTGTAATTCGTGATGCTCTCTTGTGGGGTTGCTCATTATGGTCTCAAATGAAAACAACATGTTTGCATCCGTTTGCGCACACCTGTTTCAGCACCAAGCAACATCTGTACATCCATTCCTTGTTTTGCTTATAGTCCACATGCAGATCTGAGATGAGAAAAATCCGCAGCTCTTGCCCAGGTGGTACTTTCACATCGGTGACCTGTGAGAGAAGAAGAACATCGGTGACCGGTTCGTATGGCCGGCGATTCCTTCAACAGCATCGATGTTGCACACCTCACCCGCCTCCAATTTTCGACACTCTCCCTCTCTGGGGGGTTGGGTTTTGAACGCAATCCAGATGTCTCCGGTAGCACCATTCAGTCACAGTCTGACGAAAACAACTTGGAGATAATTACAATTGGTCAACTGTTTGTCTCTTGAGCTCTACTGTAGAAGGCCAATCTGTGCTTGGGAAGGTCATTGGAGAGGAACTGCATATCTGTCCCTCACAGTCTTCACGGCCCTGGCTGCAGCCCACCTCCACCCGGCAAAGTCAGGAATTAGAGGTTTGATGAGGTTTGGAAGGAAACGTGTTCCGTGGACATGGTGCAAACCTTTCCTTGAAGTCTGATATCACCTCGGCCCCCGGCAGGTCGACTTACAGTAGGGGCTGGGAAATGGCCCCTCGTCCACACAGCCTGAATGTGATGAATACCTGAAGGGTTGTAATCATCCATGGTGCCTGATCTGTCTTGACATCAGGGAAGCTGGCTCGCAGCTGGGTCTCGATCTCCTCGAGCTCATCAAAATCCAGCATTCACAAGCTGTCAACCTCAGTTCTGAAGAAACACCGAAGTCATGAAGCTGATGGCATCTCAAGTCGAAGTTTCAATCTGGCATTACCTGGCCGCTGGCACCTGCTAGATCCTGCTGGCTATAGGACTGCATGACTCCGTCCCTTTTCCCGCTAGATCTAAGAGGATGTACGCCCCTTTATGGCCCGAACATGTGCCGTCGGCATCCGACAAAACATGAAAAAACCATGTCCATGTCCGGAAATCAGGTGGGCGGGGAGAACATGAAGTGAAGGCCGTGAACATGATAAAGGTACAGTCAGCACTGCTCCAATCCCAGCTTGGCTGCTCACCCTTGAAATGTTGTGCAAGCGGAGACTCTCTGGAAAAAGCTCATCTAGCAAGCTTTGACGGTCACTCGTCAAACAAGAAGACATGATTGTGGCCGCATTAGCCATGTGGAACACCATGGAAAAAAACATCAACATCATCTGACTGCCAAGCTTCAAGCGCCTGGTGCAGGTCCCAGCATGCCCCAAGCGCTCTTCATGTCTGTGCTGAGGCGTTAAGTAGCTTGCTATTCATCGAACATACTATCAAACACACACACATATATATATATATATCTGTGTGTGTGTGTGTTGAGCTCATCCAAGGCAGTTCGAAATCTCCCATACAATTCTGCAGAGGATGCTCTGGGATGCTCTAGGTTTGAACTTTTCTCTGGACCGAACCCCCCCTTAAGCTGGTTGCTCCCAGTTCCCAGGCACTGCTTAGTCTCAGAGCTGAACGGTTTCGGATCGACTTAGTTGAAGGACTGCAACACATCGCGCAGCATGTGTTTTGGTTCACGATGTTTGTCATGAACATGCATGAACTGCACCATGACTTGTGTTAGGAATAATGTCATGAAACTTGGGAGCCCCATTGCGGCAAGGGCGCTGAACATTCAATGGTTTCAAGCATCGGATTTCATGCAAGAGGCACGAGGGAGATTCATTTCGGCAAACATCGTTGTTGGTGAGATGTGAGATTCATTTGCTTGATTGACTTGCTGCTCAGTGCAGAACATTTACAATTGTCCAGGCCTGGGTTCCTGAATGATCCCGCGAATCAAGCACACTGTGGTTGAACAAATTCACAGCGGACCTCGTCGTCAGTACTCCACGACATCCTGACATCAATGGCTGATTTGATCGTGGTAGGCAAGGGAGGGGAATTCTCGCTGCTCCCGCGCTCTCAAAGTACTGCCTCAAAGAGATTTTGGGGACTGTTCTGCGAGCCAAACTATTAGGTTGTCAAGTGATGCGCGTCTCGCCGGATCTTGAGAGAAAATGCCCTCCTGTTCTGTCCCGCCTGATTCCAACATATTCAGGCGTTCGCTGACAATAGGTCATTCTTGTATCAACAAACACCCAGTTGTTAATTTCTCTTAAAGTCATGCTCCTTCAGAACTTAGCAATTGGCATAGGGGCTCATAGGTAAGATTTTTTGTGAGGTCCTTTTGAAACTTATCTTCCTCACTAAATGCCGCTCCTGTCTTTCAAACGTCCGGAGGTGACGGGAAATGGGAAAACCTCGCAGCCGGTTGTCCAAAGTGACCACAAACAGCTCCACATGGTCGGATGTCTTGCATATTGGAAGTTCCATTGATTGGGAAAATTCCTTTAAGCATTGTTCATGAACACAGTCATGCAAGATCGGCATCCTGTCCAAATCACAAAGAGTACTACCATACTGCCATACACACACATATGCTTATTATTGTTTTTGATTCTTGTTGCCACATATATATATATATCAGAGAGAGGAAGTCTGGACAACTGACCTGAAGAGCTTGGAGGACTCAGGCCAAAACCCCATGCAACGTCGGCGAAGCAGCCAAGCCAAGTCTTATAAGCTGTTTGCAATCTTAACACGTGATTTAAGGGCTTAAAGTATAAACCCAAATCAGATGCTTGCTTGAATTCTTGACTGAATCTCCGACACCTTAGATCTCAGCATGTTCTGAACTGGGGGGCGCTCGCACAATAGTCTAGCCTTCGGGTTCCTTTGGTCTTCGGTTTTTTTCTGGGAGGATTCCTCGCTTGCCTGAGCAGTTCTCCATTCAAATCTTCTCCCATCCAGCCACACACAAATGCTGGAGCCATCAAGGGATGGAGACAGGTCGGACACATGCGGACGCCAGCATGATTCAAGTGAGACGACGGTGGTTCAGGAAATTGATGGCTTCCAAACTTGGGTTGGCGGCCGTCTGTGGAGAGTATAGGCCGCCCAAATCTGTGGAAACAACTCCAATCACCAGGTGGGCCGTGCTGCCTTCACACTAGCTATCCTTTCCCCCTCTTGCCCTCTTGAAACCCAATCTGCTAACCCTGCTCCACCTGTCCTCCACGGCCGCTACGATAGCTACGCGCCAGCTCTCGAGTCGCGCCGGCGGTCTCGTTTTTCACCGCCGGGGCCAAGGCGGCCGAGGCACCACGACTCGGGTCGGTGAACGAAATCATTCAGCCTGACACTCCGGGGACTTGGCATCACCATCCCTTGGAGTGAAGTAGGAGTGGTTTGTATACAGGCATACTTCAGTCCTCAGTCCCATGGAGATCCATGGAGTATCTAGGTCAGGACACCGCACGAGGCGAGTCCGGCAACGGGAGGGCCCGGAAAGTCACGAAAGAGCCCGAGAGGATAAGGACGATCGATTACGGCGACTGGGCCAGGGCCCTGTTGTGGGCTGCAACATGCTTTAACAATCTTTAACAAATGATTTGATCCGGATCTGACGTTTTCTTGAAGGATCTCTGCAGCTGCAAGGACTCTTTCGGTGACTTCCAGGCCGCAATTTAAGGCCGTTGTCCAGCTCTGATGCCAGCCATCTCCTCCAAGGACTGCACAGTGGCGGCTTCTGAAAATTAAGTGATCGGATGAGATCACGAAGCGAGCGTGGGATGCCCCACATCCTACAAGGCCTTCACAAGGCTCATTTCAGGCCCATGCTTTGTTAAAACAGGTCCAAACACATTCAACATCATTCAACACTCCAGAACAGAAGATGCATAAAGATTCTGCGACAACTATGAGACCGATTAACTAATTGAAAAGAAATTCCTATCCTGACGAGTCATTTCATGTCATTTCACAGCATGCAGAATACGTTCATAAGCTGCTGCACGTCTTGCTTGTTTTTCGCATCCATCCCGCGCATGCGGAGTCCAGCTGCGCCGCACACAGCACGCAAATGCTACTGGCAGAGCGGCGGTGCAAGCGCCGCACACAGCACGCAAATGCTAAAAGGACTCGGGCACTCCAATCTGACAAAGGCCGAAAGGAGCCAACCTACAAACCGCCCAGGCCGCTTCCGCCTGTCTGCTTCAGTTCACCCTGCCGTGCTTCTAACACGGCACGGCGCTCCTTTTGGCCGCTACGCTCCGCACCGAGCACCGGCGTCCGTTCCTCCGGTCGAGTGGCGCGCGCGGCACTGGTCCGCGCGCCCGTGAGAGGGCTCACTTCGCCTGATTCCCGAGAGAAACTCCTTAGCACTACGGGATTGTGCGGTGTGCTGCGTGTGCTGCACGTGGCATCATGTGCGATGGCAGTCGAAGGCTAGATCTATGTTGATCTTCTTAAATATGCCTTGATCTTAGGGCTGAGAGAGACCTCCAAGACTGAAGGTCTTACTTGGAATTGCCGTCTTGGAATAGTAAACCTCGACTCTGGAACAACCTAAATGAAGATGATCTCACCAAAACTATCCAAAACCCATGCGATTGTTCAAGCGTTGTCAACAGCTATTGCCTCCTACAGCCAAACACAAGCTCCAGAATCACGGCCGGAAAAATCACGTGAGTCGTTCAGCAATGCCTGTCTTGAGTCAAACGTTCCGCTTCGAGGTATCCCAAACGTTCCGCTTTCAGCCGCCGCTCGCGTGTCGTTGCGTCTCGCCCGTCTGAACGCCCCAGCTGCCTGCAACGTTGGGCCCGTCCGGCGTCACTGGGCGAATAGGAGTAGGAATAGGAGCTGTCGTCGCTCTCTCCGCGGTCCAGGTCCTGCAAATCCGCTCAGGTGCTTTTGGACGTGCCGCGCATTCGTCGGCAGCGTATCCCTGCGGTGTGTAGACTTCTTCCCAACACGAAACCAGCAATCCTTGAGTTCTGGGGATCTGGAAGCTTCCTGCAGCAAATTGTATGAGCAAGTATTTTCCCGAAGCTTTTTGACCATTGGGGATCTCTTACCACTTGTCGTACTACATGTTGGGGATCTGGAAGTTTCCTGACCGATTCGTCCGTTGAACCGTAGTGGCATCAATTGTGGCCCCTCACCACGTGACCGTGCAAAAAGCGACTTTGATCAGAGAAGTGACTATACCTTCTTAGGAACAATCAGTTCCGAACTCCTTGCCCCTACAAGATCGAACTTTGAGAGGGTGGCGATGTCCCGAAGGTTCTTCATGCCAACATCTTCCCAACATCAACCCAACGTCACCCTTCTCGCCTTGGCTGCCTGCTTCGGGTGCGTTGCTTCGGCCTACTTCGGGAGAAGGCTGAACAAATGAACATTATTCTTGATGAAAAGAATCATGATGAGCAAGAGTCTCTTGCTGCCATACTTGCATTTTGCTTCTGTCAGGAGACCGGCTATGTACTCGATCAGTACACATCGACCAACATACACTTTTTTCGCCGCTCTCAACCTTGTCCGTGGCTCCGCGGCCGCGTTGTAGCCCCCCTGGCAACCCACAAAAACACTTGACTTCGGAGTGCCGCAAACATGGTGATTGGAGGAATGGCATCCGGCTCACCGAGCTGCCCAAGCTGACCCAATCTGTTGACCGACCTATTCTCCACTCGACTGGGGCTTAAGAAAGCCCTGAAAACGCCAGTACAACGAGTATGAGCTGCAATTCCCACCTGTCTTTGGCTCTGGCTCCAGAGCCTGAGAAGTTCGAACATTGCAGCATACTGCAGCGTACTCGTCCGATAGTACCCGGTCCTCATCTTCAAAAAGGCGCTCGTTCGTACGCCCAACTTCTATGAGAAAAAGGTCCGAATGTCCTCATGAAGCAAACTGGCCGTACGGCTTCTGGATTGGGCGCGTGCGGCACAGCACATGCACGGATTGCTTAGCAGGGAATGAGGCCAATACAATCTCTATTGGGGTCTCATTCCCTTATTCCCTACTAATAACCAGTCAGTTATTTTGATATGTTTAAACTTGAATTTTAAAATCCGTCTTCTTGAGCCCTGGCCCTTCCGTATTTCGCCTTCTCGTGGGCTAAGCCCAGACCATGGCAGACCCCGGTCTCCGTGGTGGCGGTCTCTGTGCTGGGCTCCAATGCGCACACCAACACAGTTAATCCCCTAATGGAGGGTCTTCGAAGGGTCTTAATGTAGGGGGATAACCATCCAAAAAAGGATCCAGCACATGTCTTCGTGTATCTTCATCTGCCGAAACCAGCAAACGTTCGCCTCAGTCGCTGGTGTCTCCTCCATCCGATCCGGGTCCACCTTGCCCGAAGACCTGCATGCCATGCCCGGAGTGTCGGTGTTCGGCGCGGTTCGGAGAGCGGTGCGACGAAAGGAACCAGAAGGACCGAAACTCGAGAAAAAAACACTCTGAACGGTATTATGGAAAACGGTTGAACATTGTGACAGTCTGACTGCTCCCAGTCAGAATCCCAGCTTTCTGCGGGGTGGGGTTTCGCAATACCAATGGACACTTGGTGGCCACAAAGTGTCAACCCACCGAGCAAGCACGAATCAAAGGGTCCTACTGACCAACTGCAGGTTTGATTCATGAAGCCACATAGGCGATCAATCGGTCTCATGAACCCTGTCAAGACTACTCAACACTGTATATACATGGTATTACAGCACTTATTACTGCAGATGACAGCTATCATCAGCTATAATCTCATTCAGATGAACCAATCAGACCTCTCCCCCGACGTCCGTCCCGTCCCGTCCCGATTGGCGGGGGCCTTGGCTGGTCATACCATTGCTCCGGGTATTCCCAAGGTGAATGGCTTTCACGGAGGGATGCTTTGTCGCAATCGCCCACCTCGCTGTAGGTGTATTCCTCAGGTCGAGCTCGATCCGACTCGATCCATGGCGGGCGAGAAGGAACGGCGCCTGGTGTGGCAATCCAAACGGCCCGCAGTTGGTCCATGGTTTGTTTGCATCAAGGTGGTAGCTGTGGAGAAGGAAACCATAGGAAGCCTATCTTCAAGAAACGGGGCAAATTCCAACTGGAAGGTTTTCCGGCAATGGCATGGGTCAATTGGAGGGCTTCAGTCTGCATGAAAGATCTTCAAAGAGGGTCAGCTGGTGTGGAGGGTTTGAGTCAGAGGGTCAGCAACGCAGGTCACGCGGGTCACGCGGGTCGCTGCAGAAGGTTCTATCGGTTTGCCGCGCTTTGACCCGCGAATAGCTTGAAGGTCCCAAAAGCCATTCAAAGCAAAAACATCGGTCGCAGCGGCTCGTTTTTCTGCTCCTTCTCCTCCTCCGTCGTATCGCTAATGCAAACCGTCTGGTTTCACCACGCGATTTCTTTGTTCACCAGCGGGTATGCCGGCTTGGCCGACCATGATCCGTGAACTTCACAAAGGTGCTACAAACTTCACAACGTCGATTTCCCCACCTTTTCTGCCTCCAGCGCCACTGTTCGCTTACGTAGTTCACCTGGTTTCTCCTGATCCTCATCCTCCTGGTTCACATTCTTCCGCTCTGCGTACTCGCCTGCCACAAAGTTGGCCAACGTCGTGGGCGAGTCGGGCTCGACGGTCTTGGCCGGAAGACGCATGAGTGTCATGGTAATCACCGCCAGGAGCATGAGAGATGCCCCGATGATGGTGATGATCTTCGGCATCTTGTCGAAGAGAAAAATGTCCAGCAGGTAGCCGGTAATCATCTGCCCACCCGTCAGCAATGTGGCGCTCAAGGCGGCCGGGCAGTGCTTGGCGGACATCGCAGCGAAGGCGTTGGCGAGAAAAATCACCAATAGGAGCATCACAAAGTAAAGGATGCTCTTAGGTGGGGACTCGGCCAAGGAGTGGATATCGCCATCTGCTTTACCCAGAACCAGCGCCAAAACCCAACACACAATCACACGCTGCGCCATGGTGGAGAAGGTGAGCATCGTGGAAGAGGCTTGACCCGCTTTACGGGCACTGATGAGAGCAAAGCCCAAGGAAACTCCGGCTAAGAGTGCCAAAAGGTTTCCCAACAAGCTTGACCCCATGCTGGACAAAGCCTCTTTGGGGTCACTAATCAGCACAGCACCCACCAAAAAGAGCAGCATGGCCAGCACATGCCATTTGCCGAGTGGCTCGCCAAGCACGAGCCGCCCTAGCAATGCAGCCACCACGGTGTTCACACTTCCCAAAGCCGCCACGGAGCCAATGTGTGCTCCAGCCAGAATGGCACAGATGTTCAGCACATTTAAGAGAGAGCTGAAGAGCCCTCGCAACACGACCCACTTCACTTCTCGCTTTTCCAGGTGGTATGACTTCTGACCTCAAGGAAAGCTGCTGCCAGTTGACACATTGGGTGGATTGCTCTCTTGCTTCACTTCTCATGCCCCGAATGGAAACACATGTGCTTTTCGAGGAGGCTTTGTGGGGGGATTGTCTAGCTCCCGCAAATCAAAAACAGCCAAACGCTGTTTAGTTGGACCCGGAAGAATTCAGCGACAACACCAAAAAACCTGTCGACACTGTGCAGCACTTCTCCCCAACAGGCTGACCAAGTGACACATCATGGTGATCGCAAGGCCGATGGAGGCGAACAGCGACGCGAGGCCGGAAAGGATAAAGTAAGGCCAACCCCAGTTTTGCATCAGCTTTCCGATGGTCATAATGAAGTTGGTAAAGAGTGCCGCCACCAGGGCTGCAACGATTCCTTTCGCCTCACTGGGAAACTGCATGGCTGGGATATTTCAGTGTGACTTGAGCTAAATGGCTGTCCTTCACAATCAGGATCAATCAGGTCTTCTTCACCAATCTAGTGTCACTTTCCACCACAGGCGCCGCAGGCTGCTTTTGCTACTGTAGCCTTTTTGGTTTTCATTGTGTTTCTGTAGTTTCATGTCGCGACTGCCCTGGCAGAAAACAACAGGGGGATCTAGCAACTGCACCACTCCAAGCATAGCACAATTATGACGACGTATTATTATTGTCTATATTATTACTACTACTATTGTTAGTATAGATCATATTCTGAATCATCAATGCCTACCCGAACAGAACAGCACACCCCGCCCACTGCCAAGACTCCGAGTCCGAGTCCTTCTTCGCTGGAACTTGACGCCTCACCTCCTTGCCTTGTGCGCCTGGCGTGCTTTGCGCGCCTGGCTTGCCTTGCGGCCAATGTGAGGTCGCGGACTTTGAATGCCACGGAGGCTGGGAGGCCTGGGAAACGGTTCCCTGGGCACCTCGCATCTCCTGTCCGAAGACGTCGAACTTCTCCGTCCGGTGGGGCTCCGGTGGCGGAGCCTGGTGCTGCAAGGATTGTGGAGAAAAACGCAGTCCTTCCATTTGGATTTGCATTGGGGTTTGAGGGTGAACTTGTTCATGGCCTTCTCTAATTATTGTTGAAACACCGCCTGGCAAAAACTGACCATCAACACTGTGCTAGCCTTCCCTAAATGTCGAATCAATGGGTTGCAGTCCTGCCATGCTCCGGCATTCAAGCCAAACACATGACATAATGCAGGGTTTGCGACCTCAAAACTCCCACGTCATGTATATAACTTCTATGCCGTAACAGCCCCCATGAGGGGCTCAATGCAATGTTTAGCACACACAAGAATCAAGCTCGGTCCCTGGCAGCATTGTAGTTTCTATGGCCGCCAGCTGAGGAAGCTCGACCTGGCAACATCCCATTGATCCCAAACCCTGTTGTGTAGAACTGCCCATTCTGGTGACCACACCAGGTTCTTCAAATGCCACACCTAAAAGGAATGGCCTCCAACCTACTAGCGATGGCCTCCAACCTATACGACACCACCGCCAGTCTGCAAACACAGGATTTGCGGGGAAACTGACTGCGGGATTGGGAGTGGAGTGAACTTAGTTTGGGATTGGAATGATGATGTTAAACTTACAACAAAGCTCGACAGACCGGCGGTGGGAAACGACAACGAAACGATACGAAACGTCGCAAACGAAGCAAAACCATATATAATGACTTATAATGTGTGAATTGCTCACGTAGGCTGGGTTCCTGCCAAATTGAAGCGTGAAAAAGGAAATGGGAAAAAAACACATGTCCCAAATGGAATGCTCTTCGATTATAAGTCCAAAGTCGTCGGTACCTTTTGGTTGATAGCATTGGATGGTCTGGTTGATAGCATTGGCCGGAAGTTGTGTAATGGTTCTTCCGAAGTTTGGAAGGAAAACTTAAGCATCCGGCAACTCTTCGGCACTCGACCTGAGGGCCGGCTGGCCTGATTCATGGGAACGAGCGCTGCTTGAAGTGTTGCACCAAGGGTGCACCCTTCGAGCGAAATATACGTTCAGTGAATGAAACATGTTTGGTATGCATGTGATGTCAGATTGCCCTTCGTTTTCGGTGTCCCAGTGCCTGCTGGACATGATCTTTGTGCGTCTACAATAAGTCTACAATATCCGACCACTATTTGCATCAATTTACTCCATCTCAACCTCCTTTGGCACTCCGGACTGGTATGCCAGTCCCTCAAACCAACAAACTCTGGAAGGTAATTGATTGGTTGTTGGATAACTTATTATTCATAAAATCCAGCTTTTCACCAGCACCTTCCAGTTTTTGTTTGTGCTTTGTGGTTTGCACCTCTCATTCAGGCGGCATCTTTCTTAGACCTCCTTTCGGAGCTGCTTTCTTTTCCTTCCCCGGGTGAACGTGGGGGGGACCCGGGGCGGATGGTAATCCACAGCCCAGCTTACACCGTTGAAATGATTCAGCAGTGCTTCATGTGTTTTGCTCTGTTTCAGCGCCGGTGGGCGCTTTGTGTCCTGTCATCGGTGTGTCCTGGAGATCTTCGCCGGCCCCAGGCTGCTCCGTGAGTATTTGTGTTGGTGGTTGTGTTTGGTTGGTTCTGTTTTGGTGGCCTCGAAGATGCCGCAGAGCGCCGCGGAATGCGAATCTTCCACAGGGAATGACATGGACCTCCGTGTGAATCGGCCTGGAAGGTCGCAGTTCAGGCTCGGGCTCGGACCGGCTTCCCTCAGGCCTCGCTCATTCAGTCCGAAACACCACGTTCGAACAGGTTGCTCAAGCCCAACGCAGCTTTTCTAGGACTGCACCACAAGGAATGAAATAAGGCAAGGTATTTAAATGTATTTATTTAATACCTTGTTACTAGTAGCGATGCCCTTGTTACTAGTAGCGTGAAAAGTTAATATCTTGCTTGGATTGAGTTTGACCAAGGTGCTCCGTAACGGAGCTGATGCGTCAGCAAAACGACTGGTGCCTCCTTTTGGAGCCCTTGCTAAGGTCGAGCGGCGTCCTCAAGGCGTGCTGCAATGGCAGGGGCTGCTTCACAACCCCCCCACACCAAGTTTGATGTTGAGTGCTTTTTTCCGATGAACTAACGATCCGTTAGTCTTGCGTTGACTCACTGTGAAGCACACATGAATCTTCACCATAAAGCAAGCCCCACGCAGAAGGCATCGTCCTGCTTAAGCACGCCTTTTTCAAGCAATGGATTTGCTTAAGCATATCCAAAGATGTCAGATCTTCCGCTTCCCTTGGTTTCCCCTTCACACCCCCAAAGACATCCTCAACACCCCCTCGCTTGACCATGAGCAAACAATAAAACTATGACTATACCTTTTAAAAGTTCGGGAAGTGGAAGGCACGGTCAGCCTTGTATATGCTGAACCTTTCCCGGCCACCTTGCGAGCTCTGTTGCTCTGACGGTTTCGGCGGAAAAATGGCATCCCACAATCCATCGATCTCAAAAGTGAGGCCATGCAAGGCCTGCCGCATATTTGGGGAAGGCCTGCTTTGCAGGCTTTGAAGCCTTGGTTTTAGACATGCCTCCTTCAAGACATGTGTGCGAGCCCCACAGAGCAATTGGGTGCTGAAACACACTTGCGCGCAAAAAAAACATGTCTTTTGCATGCCAACCATTGGTGCGCAACACATGACAACACATGATCCAACATCGAACTTGGATTGAAAAGGGCACAGGACGACATCTTGGGTCGTGATGGACAGCTGATGGGGCCAGGGCGGGCCACGAGTCACTCACTCTTCAGCGGTCCTTCAGCGGTAGGTACGTGATCTCCACAGCAGGAGAGTCCCCATGGTCTGTGGCCTGGCCTTCCAGTTTCTTTCAATATCTTTTGATCTTTCTTGGTCTCAACCTTGACAACACACTCCACCAACTAGTAACTATATGTAGTGTGTCTTTGATGTTTGTGTTGGATGTACAGGAGCCGTTGGAGTTCTGGGAAGGCTGGCTGCTTCAACATCGGCACGAGCCACGAGCGTTCCGCAGCGGAAAAAGGAGCGCCTCCCCTCATGCATCGCTCTCATCCTCTGTCTCCAAGTCATCGGAGTAGTAGCCTCCAGCCTTCGACCCGTCCTCGTGGGCACCATGGAGGCTATTGAAACAGCTTCGTGAACGCATGGAAGGTCCGCCGCCCCAAACATGACCCCTGAAACTTCTGAAGTGTGTTTTGCATACTAGAAGTGAAGCAAATATGCCTGTCTCATGGAGTGTCTGGGCCCCATTTCACCTGTGAAATCCAACCCAATTGATTGGCAAATATGCCAGTCCCATTTGGTCGTGTCTGGGTGCGGTCAAACTCAGGCAAGAAACACCTCTCCAAATGAGGGGACCGTTCAAGATTCAAGATCTTCCAATTGCAGTGTTGACGCAGAACATTGAAACTCATGACATGGTCAAAGACCAACCCGAAGAAGGACTTGTATGGATTTGTTTGGAATGCTTTGTGCCGTTGCATTCCCTGATGTCCCTGGAGGCTCAAGACAGCTTCGGGCCCCTTTCACAGCCTGCACAAAAAATCAGTGAACAATTCATCAGTCTTTGCAATCTCTGGAGGAACCTTGGAGAGCAGCTCATGAATCCATTCTCGCCATGAACCATCACTTCATCACTCCATCTCCTCTTTTCCAACCAAAAGTCAAGCCGACCAACGCGGCCTTCCGAGGCCTTCCGAACGCGTCGAGAACGCGTTCGCTTCGTCCTTCGCTCTCCGACGGTCCAAGTGTCGTGATTCAGTGGCCCGGAGAACAGAACTTTCACAGCCTGATCTGGCTTGCCGTCTCCTGGCACTCTTTCATGAGACGCTCCGAGAAGTCGAAGACCAACCAGCAAAATGATGGCTACTACTTGCCTATGGGCTGGCGCAAGAGCAGGGGCGACTGGCCATCAGATGCAATAAATTGTCATCTCTTGGGGTGCGATGACCCGCCCATTCCAATCCAAAATAGTGGCGCTACTTGGCTGTCCGAGCAAAAAGAACAACGGAAGCGCACGTGGAGACTAATCCTTTATGAACGGCTCTGGTCCGTCAGTCACAGCTCAATCATTCCTCCAAACTGGGCCATGACTGTCTTTCTTTTGCAATTGGTATCGGGAACGGTGATTTGTTGACTTGTTCTGATTCCCCATGACGAAGCGGAAACCAACCCTGCAACGGCCAACGAGGCGTGGCGTCGCAAGCAGGCCAAGTTTCTCGCAAGCATGTCCGCGGCATCCAGGGTGTGTCCTTCGCGTGATAGGCCAAAGATTGCCCAAACAAATAGAATAAAAACAACTGGGTTGGGTGGGCCAGTCAAGCTGCAGCTCATCAGCTGAGAATCAGTAGCTATAGGCTACAGTTTTACAATACTGCAGTTGCAATGCAGCAGGAAAGTGCCTGCCATGACGCTAGCATCACTGACATCCCTCAATCCAACACCGTTCTTCTCCGCTGTTCGGTGCCCCTGTCCGTTGTAGAATGGGATGGCCACCAGTGTGAGGAGCATCGCCAGCACTGAAGTAGCAACTACCATCCAAAAAATGGTGGCAATGAGCTCCTGATTCCTTAAATTGCATTGGAACGGTCTGAGGAGGCCAAAGGCGCCTTGATATGCACTGGACTTCTCTTGCACCTTTGGCAGCAACCATCAAGAGGAATTGTTTTCGTGTTTCTTGCGAAGCGTTGTCACTCTAGCCGCTGCCTTGGTACACAAAATTCCTTAGCGTGATAACAGATTGGCATCGAGATAAGACCGATGTCAAGTGCGTGATAAAGGGTACAATTCCACGTAACACTATATACAATGCTTGAAACGGTCACTTAGTGGGTTCTGTGGGATGCTCAGCTCTGAATGTTGCATCATGTTGTCAATGATTTGAATAGCCCGGCCCCATGAAGGGGTTCATCTGTTTCTGCAAATGTCGAAGACAGCGGGGATGATTGCTGTCACCGAACACATCGAAACACAACCATGTTTGGACATGCTTAAAAGTGTTGTCAAGCATGCTGCTGGCTGAAAGGAACTTTATTTTTTCACCCCGGAGCTCCTTAGAAAGGCTCCAAGCCCCTTTCACCCAACTTGTAATCAAGCACATTAAGTTTCCCTAAAAATATACGAACCAAGTCAATAGTGCAAGCACTTCTTCAAGGAAGCCCCCCCGCCCTCAGGCAGGGGGAGCTTCCTTGAAGAAGCGTGAGCTATCCTAGCTAGGAGCGAACTTCTCCTAGTAGCCTACCTCCTTACTTAATTAAGTAGGAGCGGGACGACAAAAACATGACACATCCACTCCTTCAGGTCCCTCTGCCCAAGCCGCTTCAGCTCGGTAAAGAAGTAGGACCCGATCGTGGCGCCCAATTTGCCACAGGCCGCACTGATCCCAGCGCCAGTGCCCCGCACCATCGACGGGTAGATTTCAGCGGAGATGGCCTTTTGGATGCAATGCGTGACTGATGGGTGTGACTGAATGGATCCAAAGGATTCGAAAGGAATCTCTACAGGATCCAAAGCGTCCCTACGAGTCTCTACGGGATCCGCACTGTATCAAGAAGACTTCACTGGAGACTAGTCACGGCATGAGTTCCGCTCTCCCGTGCCACGGACCACGTGGTAAGCGTCTCACTCTGCATGTAGGTTCTTGCTATCAGGATGGAGGCCATCGCTATTAGGTTGGAGGCCATTGCTATAGTGGATTGAGAGTAAGTAGATGGCACAGACCCCAATGTTGGTGGTTTATATGAACCCCCATGTAAAGGACATCGGTTTCGGTCTGTGCCATCTACTCTGATGGCCCACTGTAGTAGGTTGGGTGTCCAAGTGGATTTGACTGGAACGTCGGCCATTTCGCCTCCTGGAACGTCCGTTTCGCACCAGGTGAGGCACACGCCGGTCGTGTCATGTTGGCAAAGGAAGCATCAAAGTCATCAAAGGAATCTCAAGTATTGGAAGACCTCATTCAGAAAAACCTGATAAATTATGGTATTTAAATACTAGTTATATCATAACCATTCAATACTTTGATGAGGTCTTCCAAACGCTTCCATGAAAAATCATGAAACGAAGAGTCTTATATACGTGCACTGGTCACGACACTCAGGGGTCTCCAGTCGTCACGAAATGTCTACGGTACCCTCCATGAAAATCATCAAACCTTAGACTCAAACCATATCGCTTAGAAATGCTTAGAACAGTGCTTAGAACCTGTGCTGTGTGTATACACTTTTACGACATAACTCCTTGCACCATGTAAGTCTGTCTTTCTTTATGTTAAGTCTGTCTTTCTCTCTTTACTTGTTTCGTTCTTTCTTTCTTTCTTTTGCGTTTGCAAAGTCGCATTAATCGTGGAAAGGTCAAGTGTTGGCCGAAGCATTCAGTCTGTCACCGAGGAACCATGGTGGTCACACCTGGAAGGCTTTGGAAGGACAGCTGCACAATGTACCTGAGGCTATCGGGGGGATGATCTCTCTTCAGCTGTTCTCCGGGGGCAAACCTTCCCTCCATCGGGCGGTTCTCGGACCCTCCCTCTTCCGGGCCACCTTCCCTCTCCTAACATTGGAGTCCAGGTACCCCAAAGGTGTTACCCAAAACTATTCAATGAGTTCTCAACTCACACTTCTCTACTGAAATTCCATAATGAGCTGTGGGCAGTTGAAACAAAGCACAGGTTGGTGACTCTGCACATCTCTGAACCCTGCATGCAATCACTGCAACTACACGCGCACCCTTGTCTCATTGCCTCCGTGGCAGATGACCACTACCATTTCTGACATGGCCACCCCTACCAATCAAGTGCCCACCATTCGCGTTGTTTTTTCTGTGCGAGGCAGCCAGCAATCCATAAACTTTTGTGGAAATCATCAAAGGGCCTTCAGGTGTCTTTCAAAAAATAGCACATACGGCATCAGTCTCTTTCCGTGTCAACCTCTGCCAGGGCACAGGGTAAAGAAAAGGGCAGTTATCTCTTTCAAAGGTCCATAGGCCGTGGCCAAGACCAGATTGCACAGCGCGCAGCCCACAAAGCCGATGATCTGCACGCGCTTGCTGGAAATCCTCGTCAAGAGCCAAGGTGCCGCAATCAATGATGGGATCACCTCAGGAGGAAACCACTTCTCCGCGGAAATCACCGCATTGAGGTGCCTAGATACTTGCAAGCTTGCTGCGATTCTTGGGCAACTTGGCCTCAATGAAAATACAAAATGATACCAACAAGCTTGTTTTGAGATCAAAATGCACAAAAATGATGGCAAAGAAGTGGGCCAAGAAGTCACGATGATCGCCAAGAATGCCTTTTCTTTTGTTCATATCATTGCAGAACGTCTTTCCTCTCGTCATTCACTTGATTTATGCAACTTCTCAGCATGTGCCGGTGGACAGACCATCCCCTTTCGGCCAAACTGGTCGTCACCAAGTTGCCAACAAACGCGTTAGGAAGACATCCAAAACGCTTTGGCTGTAGGGAGCATCAGACCCCGCGTCAAAAATGGCTGCGTCGTTTTGCTTCAGACCGTACTCCACGATGTCATAGAGGCACCAAGAACCTACATGATCAAAACGATGAACATGATGGAACATGAATGAAGCAAACCCATCGAACACTATTAATAGACTATGGCACTAGGGTTTCGTGATCTTTTGACGGCCTGCGGTTCCCAACAAAGGCCGCCAGTAGGGCTTGAGCAGTGAGAGGGTGTTCTCCTGAGGCTGTTCGGCTAGGGAAAGAATCAAATAGCATCAAATGCTCAGGGTTCTCTCTTGAATCAAACTCTGCATGTATCCACATGTTCTCAAAGTTCACATTGGCAAGCAAACTCTTCTTCTTGAATACATCTATATAGTTAATAGTGCATTCAAAACAACAAGAGTGTATTGAACAGAACTCCCCAAGCAGTCACCATCACTTCACCCCAACAAGCTGTGCTACAGCTAACGTAGTATATTAAAAACATATCATTGATGACAAACAAAGTAGACGGCACTGGCAACCCTGCATGTCATGTCTTTTAGATGGGGTCTATATATATATATATGGACCACATTAAACCACCAACCTCGGGGATTGTGCCAAACAATTACAGTACTCTGAAACCACTGCAATATCACTCTACTGCGGGGTCTCCTTGTGTTCAGCCTCTGCCTTCTTGCTCGCCACAAACTTCTCACTGTCCTTGGTGGTCAACCATCGTAAAACCAGCCCAAAGGCTGACAGGATACTGCCAATGCCAAAGATCCACCTCGGTGTCCACCGACAGGATCAACGACGAACTGATGACTCCGTTCAAACAGGGTCCGATCATATTCACAGGGTCTGAAAATGTTTGGATCCTCGTGCCTTCTCGTTTCCCTTGCTACATATGCTTGAACAGTTCAGCGGGGATGCGAATAAAGGGTAGTTGAAGAACGGGAAGGTGGAAAGGGGGCCCCGACTTGAGAAGTGGAAATGAGTCAGGAGCTGTACCAAATTTAGCAGCACCTGTGATGAAGCAGGGACAACGAATCCTGAAGGAACACAACAGCAAAGTGATATCTACCTCCACCACCCGCCTCCAACCAAAATTGGTGTCTGCAACTGCGACTGCTGTCATCTTCTTCAACTGAGGGGCCGCCAAAGTAGATTCGGAGGCACGCCACTGACATCCATGATGTAAGTCACCAAGGGGCACAAGGCCTGGCCTCCACCCGATCCAAACAGGTACCTGCGAGCCCAACACCCTCTCCAACACTCAGGTACCTGTGACTGGTCCGAGAGGTGCGATAGGTCGGAGAGGTGCAGTGAAACAGCTGGACTTGGAGCAACACTTGGAGCAAGGGTCTATCAATCAAGAAAAGCCCAAGCAATTGTTGGTGCGCAATCACCCCAGAACCCCCAACAAAGCAGTTCTACTGAAAGGAATCAATGCCGGAGGGCTAAAGAGACCCCAAACTGGACGATGTCTTCCACATTCATCCATTTGTAGTGTTTTGTGCACGCCTCAGTGGATTGCTTTAAGGGAAAATCTGAGGGAAACCATTGTTTTCACCCCAAGACCACTAGATTCTTGCAGACTTTCCCTTAAAGTACAACCAATTCTGTGAATGCCAGGTGGTACAGGAGCCTGACTTTCTTTCCCCCTCGTTCGTGTGGGCGCACAGCAGCGCGACGTTCCGCGCTCCGTCGGAGGTCTCGGAGGACTCAGCGCTGTGTGAAGAGGCCAACGGGTATTCGCCGCCCATGCCTTGAGTCAAGCAACAAAACGAATAGAGCCGACTCCCTCCGCCCGACTCCCTACGAATATTGCGAATACTGCGTTGAACCCGACGGTCTTATACAAAAAGCGTGTGTTTTCCCGTTGGTCTGTGCGATGAGCATCAGAAGAAGGACACTTGCCACGGTTGAGTTTCGCGTTATGGTACCCCATGGGTCCTTCGGAGTCCTTCGGCCCAAGAGACCAATTCCGGTGACAATGCGCGCTGCGATCAGGACGTTCTCGCCCCAGGCGAAGGTGCTCAACAAAGCACCCAGCAAGGTGATGATGGAGCAAAGAATGAGACCCGCTCTTCGACCAATGATGTCAGACAGCGGTCCCATGACCTCAGAATGTTGACCATTTATACAACCCCCCCGCCTAGATGAAGATGTTGAACAAAATTTTGGTAGGGGGCTTCTTCATCAACAGCCAACACCACCAATATCTCAGAAACAACGCTTCAGACTGCAAAACCTCATCTCCTCCCATCTCCTTCTCCTCGGTCCCACATCTGAGTCTGGGCCGTCCACCGACACGGCACGACGAAAAATCGCTACAAGAGCATCGCTACTACCGATGGCCTCCAAGCTAGGAATGGTCTCCAACCTAAGAGAGATGGCCTCCAGTAGCCTCTTCTAGCTTCGTCGGCTACGCCTAGTGGCGATCATCCCCAGAATGGCTCCGCCATACATCGCCGACTTCACAAAATCCTTCTGGGCATCCGTGGCGTGAAAGTCTTCCGCGTAGTGCTCCACGAAGTTCGTCGCTCCCAGCATGTACCTGACAAAAATATAACACGCCGTTCAAAGCTAGGTTGGGATCCTGACAAAGCGTATCTGAGTGTTGGGCAAGGTTGGGCCAAAGGGATCTTATTATCCAAAGGAATGTGCTACTATCAAAATTCTCACCTTGTTCCGTGAACCTCTTAAAGTCTTATATGGGCTCTCTGACAAGTACTTGCAAGATATTGTGCAGTAACCTGCACTTTGCACTTCACTTGGGAAGGTAGGACATGTTTGGACATGGATTGGTAGAGGTGGCCAGGCCCAGGCATCCCACGCGCACTTGTCGGTGAGCAGGCCAATGCCCGTTGCGACCCCGGTGACTAAAGGATGCACCATGGCTCCGAACCCGACAACCTAACACCTGGGCGCTTCGAAGAACTGCAGCCGGGCGCCAGCCATGAAGTTGCCCAGGAGTGCCAGTGACAAAGGCACGAGGAATGACACTTGTGTTGTTATTATAATATGTTGAGCCATATCCATAGTTTTTTATTTCCAACAGCATATCAACCAACTTGTCCATCTACCAAAACCAACGGAAGCATGACCTTAGGGCTCCAGTCGTGCCTCCTCAGAAGATATTTGGACCCTCTAACCCATTCTAAACCCACCCCAGTCCCACCTTCTTAGAAGGTACGACTGGAGCCCTGGATGCCTTAGGGTCATATACCATCATACATCTATCAACCGCTATGGTCACTGCTCCTGCTCCTGCTTCGCTCCCTGGGCCTCAGGATCGACTGTCGAAAGGCACGAAAGCTGAGCTGCTGCTTTCAAGCCGAGATGTGACGTGAAGTTGTGGCTTTTAATCCAAAAGGCTTAGTAACAGAGTAACATTCTAAAACATGGTCCTGATCAGGATTACTTAATCTATGCCATTGCAAATGATTTCATGCTCTTCTTTCCCCCTTACAGAATGCTTCGCCGATGGCACTCGGACTCTTCCATTCCATCTTCTGGCACCCCCCCCCGAGCCTGGAGTCTCTCCAGCGTTCTCTTCGACTTCGGCTCCGGTCCCTCCGATCCGACCAGCTCCGCCTGGGCTCGCGCGCTCGGGGCGGTCGGGGCGGGTGCGGTCAAGGTGCTCTGAGCCGCGGTCGAGCGAGGTCTCTCGGTGGTCTGGGACGAGGAGTGGTCCGTCACGGGAACGGGGGAGCGACGCCTGGCAGTGGGAAGCGTCGCTAAAGTGGGGGTGGGTATAATTACCCCGTTCCGAAGGACTGGGGTGGATGGATGGTCCATAGATTGGATACACGTCCCTGAGATTTTTGGGGGAAGGTATTAACAAAGCTTGAAAAGCCAAGTCATAGCAAGTTGCCCATGGAGCTCCGCTCCCAAATACGCATACACAAAGCAAACCACCCAAAAACAGTCCTGTCGAGATCAAGTTGAAGCATTCTTTCTCTCCTGGCTTCGGGACAAAGATACGACGGAAGGAAGGTGAGGGTGGGGGACCAGTGGGGGACCTTCAATTTCTATGTTCATCATGAAATTTAACTGTTGAGGACAAAGTGTGATCTTGGAGCAAAGTACAGCTCACACGGCACGATTGTTGCGGTTGTCTCGGCTTGAGTTGCTGCATTCTGGTCAGCTCCAGCCTC